TAAAAAAGTAGTCGTCGTCCCATATGAAGCTCCCAAACTGTTATCAATGCTACTTCTATTAAGTGAGTTTTGGTCCTCCACAAATTGAAATAGCTCCATAGTCTCCCCAAATCCTCATGGCCTCAATAACCTAACAGCAACCCTGATCTCTAGCTTGAGTCCCTTCATGAAATTTTCCTCCAACACTATCTCAAATAGCCTCCCCAATCAATTAGAAAGGTACTCAAACATCTCTTGATAATCCATCACTGTCCCTTTCTAAATCAGACAAAAGAACTGCTTATTGAAATCTCCTTCCCAACTTATTCAGAAATGTTCTAATAAACTATCTTTGAACTCCCTCCACGATCAGATTGGATCTCTCATGTCTCTAAACTGATACCAAGACAATGACTTCTCATCCAAGCATAACGCCGCCGTTGTGAGTCTCTCCTCCTCTATCATCCCATTCACTGTAAAATATCTCTCCACCCTATTGATCCACCCATGAGCATCTTTCCCCTAAAAAATGGGCATATTCAGCTTTACCACTCCGGATCCCCTCGGCCCTAACTTCCTCTTCTAACTCCTGCTCATCCCTTATATCGATTGTTGTGATCTCTCCATTGTTCTCTGCCACCCCTTCTCCTTTCATAGATATCCTCTTCCTCAAAATTAGCCCTCTTTATTTTTTCCTCCTAGTTTCTCCTCATTTTATATCCTTAACCAATTTCCCTCCTAGTTATCAGTTCAAGAGGTGGCATATTTTTCCAGTTTCCCAATATTTCTACCTCTCGATCATCCCTCATTGTCAATCCATATGGCCTGCAACATCACCCCATGCCACAAAACCCATTTTAGGGCTTGTGTTTCGATATTCCCTTAACACGACGCTGCGCCGGTTTGAGGTTTCATCCATCCTTCATCACGCGCGTCCCTGCCCCAAAGAGGGGATGAGGCGATGACTGGGATTGATTTTATCTCAGCAGTAATAGCCACTACTTATTTTGACAGGGAAAATTCTATAAGATGGTGGTGAGATCTGCAATGCTTTATGGTGCCAAATGTTGGCCATTAAAAGAGAAGCATAATACTAAATAAAGTGTTGCAGAGATAAGGATGCTCAGGTGGATGAGTGGCTTTACTCTTAGAGATATGATACAAAATGAGCATATTCGTGTAAAGGTTAGTGTAGCTCCAGTGGAAGATAAGATTAGGGAGAGTTGCCTTAGATTGTTTGGTCACATAAAACAGTGACCTTCCGATGACCCAGTTGAAAAAGTAGAGGTATTAAATTTGACTTATGTTAAGAAAGGTAAAGGTAGACCTAAAAAGACTTGGTAAGAGAAGATTAGAAATGATCTTTCCTTGTTAGATTTAAATGAGAATTTGACTTTTAACATGACACAATGGAGAAAAAAAAATTCATGTAGCCGAGCCCACATAGTGGGACAAAGGCTTAATGTTGTTGTTGTTGTTGTTGATCATCTCTCATTGTGCCGATATTGGGTTCCCCCACTTCCATGGCCACTAGCCGGTGCCCTCGCTTTCGATATTGTCTGTTGAGTGTGAAGCTCCAATATTTTCTTCATCATGTCCTCTAGGTTAGAAAACCTTCCTTCCATTGACGAAATCCTTTCCTCAACTTTAGATTTGAATGACAAACTTCTCCATCTAGTTTCTCTTCCAGCGTCATAGGTCTCGAATCATGCTCTGATACCAATTTGACAGGATTTGATGACCAAAATAGCACACAACAATATCGAAAACAACAAACTTACTTCAAATAGATCAAGAAATAACACCAAGGGGACTGTAATTACTAATCTCCAAGCAAAGAAAGATAAGATACAAGTTGATTCACTATTCAAGAGGAAAATCGTCTCTCCCACAATTCCTACTAGTCATTAAGAACCCAAAAACTCCCACAAAAACTACTGCAACAAATAAAATTCAAAACATAAACCCTAACTCCCCATAATATCCCCCCTTAAATAGCCCAAAATGCTCTAATAAATACCTTTAAACTTTTTTCTAAAGAGTTCCCCCCCCCAAGCCTCTTCTCTTATAGGTGATAAAGGAGATCATGGGCCCCACCTGGGCACTTGGGCTGCTGCCAGCTGCTGCATCAATTTGCTAATGGTTTCAGGTGAGTTTGCTAAAGGGGTTATAAGAATCATCCTCATGAATATCAACTTTGGGATAGAAGGGTTGATTTTCAAAAAAGATGATATCCATAATGATGTAAAATTTTTTTGTGGATGCTGAATACACTCACACCTAGTTTTTTTGTGGGTGCCCAAACAAAAATACATTTGCATGATCTAGTTTTGATTTTGTTGCACTATTGAAGATGCATGTGGACAAAGGAGACGCATCCAAGGATTTTGGCTGGATGGATGTAATAATTTTGGCATGAGGGCAAGTATGGAAAATAGTTTGACAAGGAGTTTAAAAATTTAGTATTTGAGAGGCATACCACTGATAAAAAATGTTGTAGTTAACACAACACCACCTTGAAATATTTTGGAATGTGTTATCAAGCTACTTCTATTAAAATGTTTTTTTTTTTGGACGACACGTGCATCAATGGACAATCCCTTAATCCAATAGGTAGAGTAATAGTATTCATACACATTATTGATCTAGATTACTTGATTTTTTGCATTGAATTCAGTTTATACTATAGAATCGAAATTTTAAAATATAATACTAATTTGCCTTTCAAAAGAAATAACCATATGACTTTAGGGTGATCATTAATGAATGTAATGAACCAACTAGAGATACTGACTGTTAACTCAAGATGGCCCCATGCATCACTTCGTCTCATGAAAAAAACATAGGTTGATTTGTACTAGCAACTACATAAAGAGTTGTGTGTTTGGATAAATAAAAATTTTAAATTGATTAAATCCTTTTTTTTTTTTTTTGGAAAAGGGAAACAATCTTTTTAAATGCAAGAAATTCGAAGGGCCTAAGCGATAATTTGATGACATGATCACAATATTGTTATTCATGCTAAAGATTAAACAACAGATGCATTTTTACATGGTTGCCACATGAGTTCTACCTTTCTAAGGAGGAAGAGACCAGCAACCATCTTAAATCGAAGACCTGAAATTCACACACATTTGGGAGGAATTTTTAAGCACAATAAAAGTCCTTTTTCGAAAGAAAGTAGGTTATAGTCAAGTTTTGGAACATAAAGCACAAATTTAAGGAAAATGTCCCTTGAAACCATGGCAGATTTAATGTTAATAATAATAGAGAAGGATCCACTTGGCATTCCAACGATGATGCTTCCAAAGAATAATTACTAGTCTTGGAAAATAATATCATCACAAATCATATGATCATAACATTTGAGTCGACAATCTAGTACCTTACTTTTTCAAATGCAATAGTGAGAGAAAGAATTACCCTCATTAACAATAGAAGCTAAGCACGCCACAGATCCAGTAGTTTGTAGGGTTTGTTGAGAATTATGGCGGTTGTTGAAGCATTTTTAAGGAATTCAATTTGTTTTTTGTTGATTGGACTTTATGTCAAATGGAATTGGACTCTTAGTGGTTACCGTGATGCCATGCATTTCATAATTTTGCATTGTCCTTGAGTAGTTAGGTGATTTTGTCTTTTCCAACAGTTTTCATGACTATATAAACTATGATAAGAATATCATGGTCTGGCTGTTCTTGTGTCAGTCACCTCATAGTTGAATTGGAGTCCATGAGCAAAGAAAATAGAGTTGTAATCATCAAAGTTTTGAACATTGATTAGCACCCTCTAAATTATTATTTTGCTCATTTCTTCTCTCAAAACCTCAAAGAAGGCTTCATGAGTACTGTGTAGAGACATCAAGGTTAAGATTCACCCATCAACATTATCTAAATTTTTATTTAAATAATAGGAAATTGCACACTCTTTTATGTTCCACTATCTTCTTGTTGTTCTATTTCATCAAAGATGTTCACTTGTTGTTAATAATGAGTTCAATAGTTACAATATGCCATTCATCGCCTTGACATAGGTCATGCAAAATGCTCGATCTGGATCTCGAATATAATTGAAGTGCTGTGGAATTGGAGCATGTTTTTTTTTTTGTTGTATCCCAATTTTTTTTTGACGGTTTTGCATCGCATGAAATTTTTTCCAATTTTATTTTTTATGAAATTTATTAGTTATGACATCACCATATTCTTTTTTGCCTTCAATGATCGAAACTTAGGGCTCTTTCATTGCGTGCTTAAGCTACTCCTATGAGATAGTCTTCCTAGTTCATTGCACTTTCCGTAGACAAAAATGATTATTGATTAAGCTCATAGGATGAATTTTTAATCAATAAACTTGCTTCCTCTACAACCAGCAATGAGGAGAAATATATTAGAGAAAATGGAAGGAAAAATAAAAGGAAGATCTAAGAAAGTTGCTATTACACGAGGTACAAATAAGTAGAAGGCTTTATTGATTTATTCTCCATTGATTCTAAAGTTCAAGGTAGGTTAAAGATAAGAAGGGTAGGTGATCCATGATTTCCTCTTTGACAACAAATAAACACTTTCCTAAACAGAGAACCGTAAACAAAAAACAGTAAAACATTATATTATATATATAATTTAAGTTTTTATTACATTTAATAATATGTAAAGATGAAACCGAATAGGTGCTAACGTACAGATAGAGGAATTCAAGAATTCCAGCACATCCAATATATACTAAAGTTAGAAACAATAAGAATTGAAAGAGTTATTGTGTCTTGTCAAAGTGATGGGACTTATCAGCCTCAACCTGCACTATATAATGATTATTGTGAAATACCTGGCGGGCTCCAAAACCTTAAGATGGCTTGAGAGGATAAAAAAAAATGGAAAGATTAAAGTCAAAGCTTAAGGAGCAAGAGAGAAAGAGAGATTGAAAGAGACTGAGAGAGAGATTGAGAGAGAGAGAGAGAGAGAGAGATCATAGATATTTAACAGATTCTTAACGTTAGAGTTGAATTGAAACATTTTCTGTTAGTTTACCTTCAGGGCTCTCTGATATGCAAATCCAGGAAGTTTGATTGCCATTGCTCTCATGCCATAGTTGAGATCAGTGTATACTCTTTCCAAAGACTCCATCACACTGTCACCCTCCATGCTAAGAAAAATATGCATTATAATCCTGAATGTAAGCTTCCGAATCTCAGTAAGGAACTCAATTTGTCCCATCTCTGCCCACTTCTCCAGTGTTGATACAACAGTTTCTTCAATGAACTTCAGATATGTGGAAAGTGCATCGTAACCATTGATAGGAGCTGATGTTAGTTTTCTGAGCCACTTGTGCTCCTCAGGAGATATTCCTATGAATGACTTTTTTCCAACAAGTTCAACAGCAGCTTTAGGCCATCCTGTTACAAAGTTCTCATCATCCATCAATACTGGTTTGCAGGTTTCAGGTATAGTAACCAAAATTGTTGGGCTTCCAAACATAAATGACTTGTATATCCCAATGCGGCCATATCTGCCATTATTATTTAAGATTTTATCTTTTTTATATTTATGAAGATAGTAGCAAGAAACTAGAAAAGGAGAAAAGGAGAAAAGGAGAAAAGGAGCATAAAACAATTAACCACAAATGATGAATAAAACAGTGGGGAAAGCCAAATTATGCTCAACTTCTAGTAATTGTTATTCTTAAATATATTGGGTGAACTATACTTGACTTCATATGCTTTCTATTAAAATAAAGAAGCTTTTGGTTATCCAGTTGTTCATTCCTAATAGTAATATAGTGCAAGTGATCTAACTAAGTAAGACACTCGAGCTCCGAACAGTACTAAGATCTTCACAAACAATAATTTAATTTCTTATCTACAAATAGAATGCAGAAAATAATCTTCAAATTTCATTAACCTAGCGAAATGTTTTTTGAGCTTTACAATCGATAACTCTAATTTTTCATATATTTGTCACCCACGATTATAAACTTCAAGTCCAGAATAACAAAATATTGAAAAAATCTTGAAACAAAAACAAACAGCCATGTAGATGAATTACATTAATAATGAACACATGAATTGTACAAACAGACAATTTCAAGTAGTTTAACCCTTTATTCTAATGTCCTTTCTAATTGGAGTACAAATACAAATGAGCTCATCATCATTATCATATCTCATCACCAACATTAACTTTATCCCCACCCTTTGTTGCTAACTTTATGAATCATCATTCTCTAATAGTATAGATGAATTTTAGTTGAAATGATAAATCTATTTTGGCTAATTTGCATAACTTCTATTCATACTTTTAATCTACCCATTTTCCTAGCTAGTTAATTCATATATCAATTTATATACCCATCTCATTGGTGCAACTTGTAACATCTATTGTATATGCCCAACAAACTAAGTCTGTTTTTTCAATTCCTCGTCTAAAAAAGATGTTGCCCCCATAATTTCTCATTCCCTCCCATATACTTCCACATATCTATCTTAATATTCTTAATTCAATTTACTTGTCCATCAATGATTTCTTTAGCTGATCAAAAGTTGCAATTTCTTAGGAAAGTTAAAATTGTGCGAGTACAAATTTAAAATCCATTCAATAATGTTAAAGTCCAAACCGTCCATTTGTAGTTGATCCCATGGCCAGCATGAGGATCCATGGGAGGCTCACCTGGATCACGCTGTTAAATATCAACCGTCCCTTAGCCCTTGATCCCACGACCCTCGAGTGTGTGTTTGAGCTGAACCGAGCGAGGAAAGAGCGGTTGTACATGCAATCAAATCCTCCACTTGAAGAACCCCTCTTTGCCCCAAATCCTGACCGCTTTTGCATGTTCTCGATCCGCTGCCCTCAGATCTAAGAGATGAACAAGAAGGTCAAATCTACCTTCTATACAGCAGAAGAAGTCGACCTTTCCCAAGATCTCCGTCACTGGGATCAATTCCTCAAATTGAACGAATGCCACTTTGTAGCCCATGTTCTCATCTTCTTTGTTGCCTCTAACGTCGTATTTGGACAGAAGTCAGTTCGTCGGATTCAAAGCTCCCCGATGGAACAGTCCAGATACGTGGAGTTGCCCAGACGATGCACGCGGTAGGAAAGAAGATGGCTTTCTTGGTGGTAAGGCAGTTCATTACTACGGTACATTGCCTGCTTAAGGTGACCAAAGAAATGGTAAGCACGCAATTGATGATGTACGCTACTTCCCTAAGCAGGGAGTCGATTGTGGATATCGAGGGTGAGGACACAGAGGTTACAAGCACTTTATCATACCTTGAAGGAGTTGGCACTTGCTAGTTCTCCATGTTCCCACCACCGGCCTTCATTGTCGAAATTCTGAGGAATACAGGTTCTCATCACTAGCCTTCATTGCTGGAATTATGAGGAATACATATTCCCACCACCAGCTTGCATTGCCAAAATTCTGAGGAATATAAGTTCTCACCATCAACCTTCATTACTGGAATTCTGAGGAATACAGATTCTCATCACACAGGCCTTCATTGTCGGAATTATGAGGAACAGTGGTTCTTCTACTAGCCTTCATTGCCAGAAATCTAAGAAATATTGATCATTTTGCTTCATTCGTGCGTCCAAGACCGAGAGATCAAGTGAAAGGGCTCCTCTCATGTGCAACGTCCAAAGTCGACTAAGCAGAAGCGAGAGAAGTTAAGCACATGACCTCCTTTTGCATGCGTATGGAAAGAGCTGAGAGTTCCCTCTAGTGAGGGTCCAAGGCTGGAACAAGCAAAAGTGCAAGACTTGCACTCCTTCCTGCGATTAGACCAAAGGGATCAGAGGCCTTACGTGCGCATGTATGGGGTCGATCGAACAGGAGTGTTCAGGTGGAGTCATACAACTTATTTGCATTGGGCTGAAGGCTGGATCGATCGAACGGGAGGAGATTTGCGTGTCAAGTGCTGAGCCGCTTAAGACGTGTTTTTCTGCTTCTGTCCTTAAAGATTGCCGCAACCCAAAACCAAATTTTTTCTACTTCCGAGCCTTCATTGTTTGCCTTCTCTTGTGGTTATCCTATATATAACCAATATAACCTTTATTGCTGCCCTGCTTAATATAACCTTCATTGCTTACCCTTTGCCATCACAATGTCTGAAGCTAATTTCTCCCTAAGTTTTAACCAAATGGAGGACTCTATGGTGCATCAAAGGTCTTGATAACTCCTACTTTTCTAGGATTAATTACCAAGTTGGGAATGACATATTTGCATTCCCTATCTTGAGGGAGAGTGGATGAGCTCCGAAATTTGCGACCCAGCTTCCCTTGCTTTCAAGAGAGTTTTAACAAATTAAGTTATGAGGTAAATTTTTAGAAGGAATATTGGATTGTAAATAAGACACTACCCAGAGATTTCGCTCTCATTTTACAAGGACTTTATGATATGAGTTTTGGTTTCCTCTAGGAGCAAGTCCCTCTCCCGATATTGAGAGAGAAGTTTCGATTAAGATTAGTCGTCAATTAGATACGTAATATTGAATTGATACATGGTATCCGACATATAGTAGCAGCATGGGTTTTCTTTTTAAAATTTAATATTTAAAATAGAAATTTCATCATCTTGCACTTAAAGCGGATGGTGGGGAGAATAATGATGAACCCGATCAAGATCCCATGGTTATGTCGTCCTGGGACATTATGGTCCCTGGTCTACTTAGTCAGAGGAGGTAGTCGACCTAACATGGCAGAAGGATCCTTGTCAGCAGCCATGGGTTGCTTCATCCAAGGGAACCTTGCAGATCTGGAATGAGTATTCGCCTAAGGGGACAAATCTGGATCCACCTTAGCTAACAAAGGGCTTTATGCCCTATCAATTATATCATATTAATTCATATCTCAAAGATTTGACGTCATTAGAGAACATACTGGCTGTTATCGTAACTATAATATATTGGAGTAATTTGAGGAAGCCACAAAGTCAGAGAGTCACAGTTGTAATCATTAACCACGCGGAATCGCCTGGCCAAACCACGAGTTTTTTGCAGAGTCATCTGGCCAAATAAAAAATCAGACGACCAATGACACGTATTTACTAGCAGAAGATGGATTGAGAATGAATCATAGTTATATTCTCGATCGAACACTTAAACTTTGTGAGCTGAAGTGTATTTTAAAACTTATACACCTCGAAAAATTATCACGGAGGGTGGATGAATTTTACTTTAAGTATTTTAGTGATCATTTTAATTTAAAATATTTTGATTTTGTGATTTTTGGAATTTTGAATTTTTATGAGCATATGGGAGGCATTTTAAATGTTTGGGGACTCCTCTGGTTGAAATTTTCTATCAACACGGCCATCATCGAAATATTTATAGACAGTTTTCATTTGTTGATTGAACCTTATTGACTTTATTTACTTATCGATAGAGGATCGGATTCTTCGTAGGCTCTATGTCTTTATTGCTGAATCTTCTTTATCGTAAACTTTGAAGACCTAATATGAATGTATCAAAATAAATGTTTTGGTCGATGCCTTGACCGCATATTTTTTTGATAGTTTAAGTCGTGTTGACCCTATCTATTCACATATAAGGGTGGGGCTCAAGCTTAAGTTCATTTCTTAACCTGCGTGACTCGCTACTGCCACCCACCGCCACCCAGCACAACCGACCACTGATCACCATCATTTTTAGAGTTTACATTGCATTCATTTTACTTCAAAGCAAATATAAAAAATAATCACCTGTATGGCTGTATTTATTTTAAACTCATTCAAACAAGTCCAAAATATTTCAAATACATTGCATTTCTTGTTTAGCCAATTAAACAATGTCTTAATATAAGAGTAAGTCAATCTTATCATTTTAGAACTATATTTTGGAAATATATAAATTTTGATGAAAAAAAAAACAGCATTTTATTTTATCTTTTCATCTTAATATAAATAAAAAATAAATGTATTTCAAACTTCCTCCCGCAACAAATTCGTAAGTCTGGTTCTTAAGATACTTTTATCCCATAAACAAAACAGAGATGTGGATCGAAAATTCAACTGACATGGGACGCGATAATCAATAAAATAATCTTAAAGGGAATTCAATACTTTCTAAGAAAATTAATTTATCGAAATTTTCTAATTTGAATTTTTAAAATGTTTAGGATTAAATATTTACAATAATCGAGATATATAGTCGTAACAGGTAAAACAAATACATATTGGTGCAAAAGCATTCATAAATTATTTTATTTTTTTAATCTAAACATGAATCGTAATTTTGCATAAATACTCGTTACTGCACTTACATATATTTTAATGTAAAAACTGTGCATAAGACACTTGTCACAATAAAGACAGTAAGATGAAGACGAAGAGCATTGAAACGCTGATCTGCAGACGAACGAATCAATAAACGAATCCTATAAGGAACTCAGAAATTTCTCAAAAAAAGAATAATAATAATAATAATATGTGGACATTTTCTAATTTGAATTTAAAAATTATTAGACTTAAACCTTCACAATAAATTGAGATTTGTTATCGGATAAGAAATTCTTAATATATAAACATCCGCAAGCACTAAAATTTATTACTATTCATTTTTTTTTTTCATCTTAAAAATTAGTCCACAAATTTTAAAAAATATTTGTTGTCACATTCATAAATTTCAATAAAAAAGTACTAAGCAACCCCCATTTATTCCCAAGACAAAAGAAAGAACGCGAGAGAGAGAAAGAGAAGGAAAATGAGGAATGACCTTTGAACAAAAGAATCAATAAAGGAATCAGGAACACCCGACTTGAATGCTCGGAGAAACGCCCACATGTTGCCGATGAACGGAAAACCTAAATCCCCAGGTGGAAGCCGACGGCGAAGATCATCGTCGAGATTCCTCTCGTACGACCACTCGTGCACCAACCGCACTGCCCTCCACAAGCCCGCCGCAGCCGCCACAGCGACGGCCAACGTCGCCGCCGCCACGCGCCACCAATCCGATTCAAATAACCCCATCGATGACTTCCTTTACCCCCTTTTCCCTCTTCGGATGACGACGTGGTAATTATGGAGGAAGAAGGAACGGATTTTCGAAAATGGAAGGGAAAGGCTGGGGAGCGGCACTGCGGCAGTTCAGCAGCAAATTTAGTATAAAAGGGGGGTTTTCGGTGTAGTATTTATCCATTTTTTTTTTACTTTTACTTTTTCTTTTAATTTTTTTTTTTTATTCAGTACGAATAGAAAGGTACTATCAAAAAATTTAGAAAACACAACTCTCCTTGGCCTATTGGTTGAGAGCTTAGGCTTCCAATTAAGAGGTTCAGGGTTCCAGTCTATGTGTATGCGTTGTGTGTGTGAATTTGCCTTAAATGGCTTAAATGTCCCAAAAAAAAAATAGGAAAAGAATCAAATTAGGCAAACAGAATAACTCATTTTATTAAAGTACTGAACTGTTTGACATATTTAGAATAAGCCAAACAGTTCATTAAATGAGTCATTTTGACGTGTTTTTATTTGGTCCGGTGAACGTACGTAGAGCTACATTCGGCCGGCACTAAGATCGCAGGCACAAAACGAGAAATATCGAGCAATACCAATAATAACGAGAAATATCATTATGTGAATACAAAATACCGAACAATATCGAGCAATACCGAGTAATACCAAAAAAACTCGGTATTTTTTGGTATTACTCAGTATTGCTCGGTATTGGTCTTCCAAGAGTGATATTCCTCGTTATTATCAAACAATACCTAGCAATACCGACCAAATACCTAGCAAAAATCGAGTAACAATCATTTGACCGAACGTAGATCTACGTCCGATCAGAGGACATAATAAAAGTTTCATTTTGACACATTTCATTAAATACATCAAATTATTTTGCGCATTGTTATAATAATTTTAAATTTTGATTTTGCTAATTGGGGTAAATGCATCAGATGATTTAAAACTAGCCAAATTGACTAGTTTGTTTTTTTTTTAAACATATGATCATATTGCTAATTTAAATTAAATATCATGCTCATATTTATAATATTCTCTTTCTTGATGCCTAATTTAAATTTTATTGCATTTTTTATTTTATAAAATATTATTATTAAAATAAGATATCAATATACAAGTAAATATTTTTAAATTTAAAAGAAGGATAAAAAATATAGAAAATAATGATAAAAATAAAGCATAATAAAACATGTCTAAAAATTTAGAAATGAATTATTTAACTAAATATGGGCTTAGTATTAATTTATTAATTATTAACTAGTAGAATTAATGGGATTAGGAGAAGATTTAAGTATATCTTATTAAAATTTGATTAAAATAAAATGTTTTAAAATCGAATTTATTTTAAATAAGTAAAATAAATAATTATTATTTTTGTCTTGAGATAAATTTAAGAATAATATGAAGTAGTATTTGAGTTAGCAAATCTAAATTTAAAAATTAAAATTTTGATTTAAATTCAAGATAAAATTAAATTGAATTAGAAATCATTATTTTTAGATTAGTTTCTAGCTCAATGAGCATAATTAGTTAATTTGAAAAATAATTTTAACTAAAAATTATGATTATTAATTATATAAAAGCATTCAAAATTATATGCGCACACACACAATTTTGATTATGTATGTTATATAACAAGTTCTTTCAAATTTAATTGAACTAATTTTAAGTGATTAATATTTAAATAAGAACATATTCATTTTAAATTTTTGATTAAAATTTGAATAATTATTCAGAGGACTTTAAAATTTAAGTTTTGAACACAATTTCTTTCCTTAGACAACACAAAGTTCACACTTCTTCTAAGTGGAGCCTTATCAAGAGTGACTTATCTACTCATGAAATTACGCATTAATATTTTATAAGATAAATTTGGTATTTTTGTATGAAATTTATGTTAGTTCTATGGGATTTTATTAGAGAAATTTTTACGTACAGAGTCCAGACGGAAGAACCATTTGGATTCGGTGAGGGTACATAATAAATACACAGCAAAAAATAAAGTGTGTATTTATTGTGTATCATCACATAATCCAGACGGTTCTCCTGTTCGGACTCCGCATGTAATAACATCTCTATTTATTGATCCAAGCAATTAAATATCTTAAAAGTATCATAAAAAATTTATAAAACAATAAGATATAGCTTATAAAATATTAAGAATAACACTACATAAAAGCAATTACACTCATGCTTTGTTTGGATCGAAGTGATGTGATGAAATAAAAGAAAACCCTAATGTTTTATAAGTTGAATATGAATCTCAATCATTGATATGGTTATTTTTTTTTTTTATGCTTTCACTTTTTTTTTTTAATATGAAAGCCAAATTAAATATGAAAGCTCAATTAACTGTACATAAGGACTATAGAAACTAAGGCTTTATTTGGGATCACTTCTTTATTATTTTCTAAATCAATTTTATAATTAAAAAAAATTATATTAAAAAGTTATTTTAAAAAATAGTAAGAAAGCTGTCCTTGTTGCATGCTAGAATATACGTGGCGATTGAGTTGCAATTTTACGTCTTAGCGTTGCACGGATATCCAGCTCACATACAGAGAACACAAGATTTTTTACGTGAAAAATCCTGAAAAGGAGAAAACCCACAGGGCCTAGCCCAGTTAAAAAGATTTCATTAGAACTTGAGTTGATTACAGTGGGCTGACTCGTCGCAGAGGACGATCAGATTACAAATGTCAACCGTATGGTTGAAGTCTAGTGTAAAATATGGTGTCACCTGGAAGTTGGGGCGTCAAATGGTAGTCCAACAGTGACTTGGTAGAATTGTGGGTGTCAGGTGGTGGTCCACCAGAAGTCCGGGCCTCAGGTGGAATTCTGGTGGAGCATAGGGCCTCAAGTGACAGTTCGGTGAAAGTCTGAGCTTTAGGTGGTGGCCTGGTGAAGCACAGGGCCTCAATTGGCGGTTCGGCGGAAGTCCGGGCCTCAGGTGGTGGTTCGCCGGAGGTGAGGGCCTCAAGTGGTGTTCCGGCGGAGATGAGGGCCTCAAGTGGCGGTTTGGCGGAAGTCTGAGCCTTAGGTGACGGTCTGGTGAAGCACAGGGCCTCAATCGGCGGTCCGGTGGAAGTTCGGGCCTCAGGTGGTGGTCTGGCAGAGGTGGGGCCTCAAGTGGTGGTCCACACGGAGCAATGGCGTCAGACGGTGGTCTGGCGGAGGTGAGGGCCTCAAGTGATGGTTTGGTGGAGCAATGGCGTCAGGCGGTCGTCCGAGGGAGGTGAGGCCTCTAGTGGTGGTCCGGTGGAGCAACAACGTCAGACGATGGTCCGGCGGAGCTGAGAGACTCAAGTGGTGGTTCGACAGAGCAATGACGTCAGGCGGTGGTCCGACGAAGGTGAGGGCCTCAAGTGGTGGTTCGACAAAGCAACGATGTCAGGCGGTGGTCCGGCAGAGGTGAGGGCCTCAAGTGGTGATTTGACGGAGCAACGACGTCAGACGGTGGTCCGGCGGAGGTGAGGGCCTCAAGTGGTGGTCCGACAAAGGCGAGGGCCTCAGGTGGTGGTCTAGCGAAACTCCGGCGGTGGTCGAGGTGGAGCTTCTTCATTCTCTTCTCTTCTTCTCTTCTTGCTTCTTGTTTGGATCCCCTCTCAAGAGAAATGAGAGGTCTATTTATAGATTTTTGGAGTGACATAGCCAGTAAATAGATGAGAGATCAAGGGCAAATGGGGAGTAGTTGGATAGATGGCCGATATTGAATCCCTTGACCGTGGACCTTTCTTCAGACATTTGAAGGTCTTAATGATGTCGGAATTCAGCGATCTTGGGCTCGTTGGATTTGTCTCGTCGAGCCGCTCGATTTGAATATAAGCATGTCATGTTTGGAGACCATTTGATAACCCAAATTGTGGTTCAAACCTTTCAACAGTGCTTCGGGTCCTTGATTTGAACTCATTTGGGCTCACATTGAGTCAAATTTGGAATCGTTGGATTCGTATTTTTGAGACACTCAGTTCAGCTGCAAGTTTGCTGAAATCAGAGTTCATATTGTTCCAATTTTAATTTTGGAAGTTTCCAACTTGATTTTGCATCGAGATTCGTGCCCGGTCATGATAATTTTTTGAGGACGTATCAATCCTAAACAAAACCTAACGATTTCTTTGGAATAGCTTTTTGACTCTTTAGTAAAAAGAAAGATAATTGATAAAAAAATAATATACTTTTGGAAGATAGCTTTTTCAACATTTCTTACTTTTGACTTTAAAAAGCTGTTTTTAAAAAATCATTTTTAAAACTTTGACTTAGAAAATACTTTAATTTTGAAGAAAAAAAAAAACCAATAGCGAGCGGGGTGGCCATCAGTGCTTAGAAAAATTATTTTGTGTAGAATACCGAATAGTTTGAAAATCAATCAGATCACGAATGACATGACACATATTGATTGATCTTCAAATGCTGTCCGGATCCGCACATACTAATTTTTCCCGTGCTTAGCTCTGCGTGGCTTTTTGTCTGTTTAGGCGAAGCGCACTCGCCCGACCATCCGCTTTGGTTGGCCGCCTTCGCAATCTTACAGCAAAGCGAACTTAGTAAAGTGAGTCCAATTGGGCCGCCGGCGAATGAGGGTTTGGTTCTTCTCTTCTTTGCTGAATAATCAACAGGAAAGTAAGGGACAATACGCATCATTTTTTATCAGATTAAATTCTATTTGTTTACATGGACTAAAGTCCGAATGGCTTCTCAGAATGTTCTCTTTTTTCTACGCATGGTTTTATAAATAATAACGATGGTTTTGTATTAGATTCAATGAATTTGATTTAGAGTTTGAGAAGGTTTTCTTATTACTTCATAAATAAATTTTTTTTTACAGAATTTTTAAATATTTTTACTAAAAAGCTGTTTTTAGATGTAAAAACTGTTCCAAACAAAACCTTAATAATATTTTGCTACAAAGATATAAAATTTATTTTGGGATCATTTTTTTACTGATTTCTATAACAAATTTTTAATAATTTTTTTTAAATAGCAAAAAAATAACAATAAAAAACAGTCACAAATGAAGTTAAAATATTATTTGAATGGATTAACTATGATTAAAATTTCCTTTGTTATTATTATTTTTATTTTATCTATTAGAAAATCTAATGTGTGCATGTTGATACCATTTTAACGAATGAAAAAGAATTTTAAAATTTTATATGTTAAAGTCATTAAAATAAGGCTTAATTATATATTTGTTCCATGATTGAATATAAGTTAAGGGATGATATAATGTTTTAGCTTTATATAAAGATATGTCATGCATCCATATAAAATAAGAGAATGCAAGAGAAATTATTATTTTTTTGCAAAAAATTTAGAAAGGGAAAATCACGGGGCATGACCTAATTGAAATAATTATATTAGGTGAATGTTGGTTATAAGGATTTGCTTGTTCCCTAAATTGGAGAAGACAGGATTATAGGAGCATGAATAGATGGCTTGTTCCCCTTTGAGAATGGTTGAAAATGTCGTTTAAGGTAGTAATGGATTAGAGATATACGAATGGCTATGGCCGAATGATGGTAGTTTGATGATGGAGGTCGAGCGATGGTGGTCCAATGAATGGTGGTCCTGCAACAATAGTCCATCAATAGTGGATAGGCAACTACATATAGGCAATGGTCGTTTGGTATTGGTTATACAAATATAATGGTCATGCAGTGGCGAGTCAGCAATGTGGTCAAGATCAGTGGCTTGATGATAGAGGTTGGGCGACAATGATTCAATGATGATATTTCGATAGTGGCCCAATAATTATAGTCCAACGACAATATTGACAGAGAACAATTTAATGATGATGTTCGGATGATAGTGATTAAGTGGTGTTGGTTCGACGATGATTTGACATTAATGGTCGGTTGATGATTATCGAATGATAACGGCCAAGTGGCGTTAATCTAGCAATGGTGGTCAAATTGAGTTATGATGATGGTGGTCAAGAAACGATTGTCGAATGGCAATGCTTCAGCTCTGACATCCTAACAATAGTCACTAAGTGGCAATGGTCTAATGGTCAAAATCAAGCAACAGTACGATGACGACGATGCCCTGATGGCGATGGTTAAACGATCATCTATCATCTTATCATTGTTGTGGAAATCGTATGCATTCTCTTATTTTATCTGTACATGTGATATTGTAAATAAATATTATTTATAATTTTATTATTTCAAGATACCAATAGAAATATCCTTAACAATTTTTTATTATTATGGATTTTTAATTTCATAGATCTCCTTTTTAGATTCATATAAAAAAAAAAAAAGCTAAGATCTTCAAAGTTCATCCTAACTAATTTTTTATCCTTATGTAGTTCAATCATAATTTTGTTACACCCTAATTATCATAACATCAAATCATTCTTTAATTAGTGATTAAACCAAATGGTTGCTAATTAATTAGGTTTTATCTACTTAGAATAAATTAAAATGAATAATTAAGCCGAATTATCTCAAACGAAGTCTTAACCTACTCCAAATAAAACCTCAAACAAATTAAAATTGACTTGAATTCAAATTATATACAACACACATAAAATATTATTATATATTTCATATTAAAATATTTTTGAAATTTTGAACAATAGGTTTTGTTTTAAACAATCTTTTGAGTGTTTTTGTGGTAAAAAAATTTATTAGTAAAAAATAATGTTTGTTATGAAGATAATTTTTTTCGCCGTTTTTTCAACATTTTGTTTTTAAAAAGCTGTTTTTGAAAAAACATTTCTGAGACTGAGAAAGAAGTTTTAATTAAACATGTTTTATCAACTGGCCTAAGTACAAATAATTATGTTGAAAAGAATCAAATTAAGAATTATATATTCTAATAATTGAAATTAAGGCATTGTTTGAGACAACTTTCTTATTGCTTAATAAAATCGAGTTTTAGTAAAAAAAATTTTTAACTCTGTTTTAAAAAGAACTGCAATGTCGCCTCTCAGGTCTTGGAGTCATCTCTCACGACATTGCAGGGGCGAAAGCCGCCAACATTCAATCTATTATCAACAAGCTACTAAAATCCCTCCCTGGCGTAAAGAAATATGGGATTGGTTGCCTTGAAGATTGCCTTGAGCTCTACATAGATGTTGTTTCTCAGCTAAAAGATTCGGTGGAGGCGATAAAAGCACATCACATCGACGATGCTAGGACTTGGATTAGCATAGCTGTGGATGCGATGTTGACTTGCGAGGATGGGTTACAAGAAGGGGGGTTAAAATATCCCTCAAAGAAACAAAATGATGAATACTTAAAGACAATTCTTATTCCATTGGACATAGCTGCCGTCTTGGATACCAAATGATGAGGTTATTGTATAAATGTTTTATATATACCAATGATACATATATATTTAATATTTTTTATTTATGTTTTGGAACAAATAATTACATCTATTAAAAAGGTTGACTAATAGGCTCAACCTTCGTCAAATTTAGTAGCCAATGAATACATGTTTCAAACGGCATTAGTTTGAAGGACTATAATCAGACAAAGGAGATCAGAGAATTACAATCAAACGACATTAGTTTGGACTATAGATAGAGATAGAGGACATAGAACTGTAGCTACGCGATGGAGGTTGGAATTAATGAAATCACTGCTAATTATTCATGAAAATCACTACTATCTTCACAAATTCAACAACATATACATGTATCAAAATAATTTTAAATTGAAACACACACACACACACACATATATATATATATATATATATATATATATATATATACATCTTACTATACATACATACATCAAAATAAATTTAATTTGAAATTTTTATTCAATTATTTCCTTCACTACTCAGTATTCTATAATAATATCACTCGAACATGTTATAGGAACTGTCACTATTTATCATTGCCTTTCAAACTTCTTATTTTTATGTTTGAAATTTATGTCCATTAATGAACTAATTATTAGCATTGTTTGCTTATCAATTTGACCACTAGCAAGCTTGCTCATCATTCGATTCACAGTCTAATCTATAGAAGATGACCAAGATGAAAGCAATTATTTAATAGAGTAATTACTTCAATTATCTTTCTAAATTCTAATTCTTCTAGCACATTCCCATATACTTATTAATGAAGGATTATTCTTTAACTTAGAAAGGGTGGAGTAGGGGTGTGGTGTCAATAAATGATTGATCCGTCAACCCGACTCGAAAAATCTGAATTCGAATCGACTCATTTAATAAACAGGCAGGGTTCTAGTTGAATTTTCGGACCCATTGTATTCTTGTTGACCTGGAATATGTTTTTTTATCCAAAAAAAAAAAGACTTGTTTCCTGTCTTTTTTATACATATGAGTATAATTTTCTTATTTTTTTTTATCAAATATCCTAAGCTTTATAGTTAATAAGTTATTAAAATTTAATTAAAATGGGTTAACGAGTCAAGTTCGGATCATTCAGGTTATTAGCAAGTCAAGTTCACATTGGTGTTTTTGACCTTTTTGTTAAATGAGCCAAGTTTGGGTAGACTAGATTTAGGACAGGTAATTTTTGAGGCGGACCCAAACCCATCAACCCGTTTTGACTCCCATATGATAAAGATTGTTTTGCCCTTTTTTAATGAAAATAAATTGCATTGACCCTTAACACTATAAAAGGATCATTTTTTTTTTCATCTATTTTTCACATGTGAATGAGAGCTATGAGACTTTTGTACCTCAAAGGAGAAGGAATCATGAACTAGTACAACAACAACATAAAGCCTCTATCCCACTATCTGGGATCGGCAACATGAATTTTTGTTCTTCATTGTATCATGTTGAGAGCCAAATTATCATTTAAATCTAATAAAGAAAGATAATTTTTCATATTTTCTAATCAAGTTTTTTTAAGTCTATCTCTACATTTCTTAACATAAGTCAAATCTAATACATTTATTATCCTAATTAGGTCATTAAAAGGTCAACATTTTATATAACCAAAATATCAGAGGCGACTCTATCTAATCTTATATGTCAATGGAGTAGCTCCAACATTTTCAAGTATGTGCTCATTTCATATTTTGTCTCTAAGACTAAAGCCAATTATTCATATGAGCATCCTCATCTCTAGTACGCTTAACTTAGGCTTCGTTTGATTAGGTTTATTTTCTCCGTTTTCATTTGAATAAGTTATAATCAGTTCGTGATATCTATTTGGAGGACAAATTTATCCGCAATTACTTTTTATAAAACGACGTCAAAAATTTATTCAGCGACTGCTTTTCCGTTTAGAAAACACGGTTTCCTCTGTGTTCGTCTGTGTTTTCTGCTCCGCTCTCGATACACGGTGTTCGGTCGATCGTTCCTTCTGGCGCAATGCAGCTTTGATCAGTGGGCTATGGAGTTATATTTCTGTATGTTTATCATCAAAAATTAATCTTTTTTTGGGAATCGGACTCACGGGCCTACTTCTGATCCATTGTTTTTTTATGGATTAGTGGAATTCCTTATTTTATTTCCTTATTAGATCTGTAGCTTGATTTTTTTTTATAGATTAGTGGAATTCCTTCTTTTATTTCCTTATTGTTGGATGACTATGGCACTCCAAGAGGGGGGTGAATTGGGATTTTTAATAATTTTTATTAAAAGAATAAAATTAAAATAATTTTAAAGCAATTATGAAAAGAGTAAGTAGCACACAAAATTTCTAATGAAAAAGACAAAGAAAAATAAGTGCAAGAAATAAATTATAAATTATTATATAATTAAATTTTTCTTAGAAAGTTATATATATATATATATATTACGTGTACATAAATTTCATGGGCAATTATGTCTTTTATAATAAAATCTCAAAAGCAGAACTCTTAAACAAACAATTAAATTTACTTTCAAGTATTAATAAGCACTTTTAAAAATATTATTCAAACATATCTCATTATTGAAACTCCATTTTATTGAACTGCTTTTTCTCAACCTCCTTTTTTAAAACTCCTTTTTATGTAAGCATAAACCGAATCAAACGAAGCCTTAATTTGATGCTTCTTTTTTTATGACAAACATTTTGCACCACAAAACATTGGAGGTCTCACCATCATCTAATATTTTTTTTTTCTAAAATTTGAGGGGTACTTTTCCATTACAAAACAGACCTGATGCATTCCTCCACTTCAACCATCCAATTTAAGTTATATTAATAATATCTCCATCTATTTCAGTATCAATCTGAACAATAGACCCAATATATCTCAAATGTGTATTTTTATTGATAACTTGATCGTCCAAAATCACAAACCCCCCACCAAATATATTACTATTAAAATTATACTTCATGCATTCGATTTTAGATTTACTCAAACGAAAATCTTTAGACTCTAAGATTTACCTCCATAATTGCTGGATTTTCTTATATCTATTTTGATGCTTTTTTAAATTCATTCAAATTTTTTTGCCTCACATGAAAAAATATTTAAAAATAAATTGAATAAGCTCAGCTTCTATAAATATAATTTTAATAAGAAATAAAAAACTATAAGAATAAAAAATAAAAAGGAATTGTAAAAGGAGAGAGAGAGGTGGCAATGGCTCCAAAAAATAACCATCTCATATGTGCTTTAAACTCTTAATTAATGGAATTTAGATGTCATTTGAGGCAACTTTCTTGTTACTTCTTAAATTCTTAATACAACTTCTAGTAAAAAAATTAAATTTTTGTACTAAGAAATTGTTTTAAGAAGCACTAAGAAAGTCATCCCAAACAAAAGAGAGATTATTACGTGTGGAGTCCGGATATAGAGAACTGTTCGGTTTTGTGACAGTGAATAGTTAAAGTGCAGTGGTGAACAGTAATTGCGTTTTTACACCACATCACTTTTAATATTCACAGTCACAAAACCGAACAATTCTCAACGTCCGGACTCCGCACGTAATAATCCCTCCAAACAAAACCTTAAACTTGTTGTAATGAGATAGATTGCTTGCCTTTGGTAACAAAATCAACAGTATTCTGAGCAGTGCAAGATAAGTTCCATTTGCCTTCTCAGCAGCAGTCATCAAACCTCTTTGAAGACGCAAAGTTGTTTCTTTATAAGAAGACTGCACGTGCTGCAGAGACAAAGGATAATTTTGAGTAGGAATGTCACCATCAATAGTGAACATTAACATCATTAACTGAACCTTAATGTGGTAGCTCCTGCTTGAATAATGCGATATTCTGAAAGGCAATAGTTTTTCAAAGATGAATACAAATAAAAAAAAAAATCTGAAATTTTTTTAGTACATCAGGGGCGACTGATAGGATGCAGTGTATTTAAAAAGCACCTAAATTTGATAATTTTGGAATTTATTTTCTATCCAATTAAAATTTTAGAATCTTTGTATTCCTTTTTTATACTGAAATCAAAATACTTCAACTCAAACAACTCCTACGAAAAAAATAAGGATTCATTTGCGACAACTTTTTGATAGTTATCTAAAATACTTTTTTAGTACAAAAATTTTTAGTATAAAAAATTTTTGTACTAAAATAATGTTTTAAGAAGTAGTAAAAAAATCGTTCCAAACGAAACCTAAAAATCGCTTATAAAATCATTTAGAGAAGTAAAAGAATGATGTGATTATAGGTTCTCTTCTCCAACAAGTAAAGGATGACATTATATTTTCAAGAATTGTAGCTATCACTATTTTCAAAGTGATTCAACTTCGAGTTCTTCTTATCATTTGTCCTTCAAATTAGAAACTAGAATTAATGGCTTAAGGTTTACTTGATTGATGGAATTTAAGCTTATTGCGATGAGATGAATGGCTTGTTTTTGGCAACAAACGCAATAGTGGTTTGAGCGGTGAAAGGATGAGTTCCTTTTGTCATCTCATAAACACTTGATAGAAAAAATTATATATTTCAAATTGCATCTATTATTATTATTATTATTATGCTATTAATTCCTATCTTTTTGTGCAGGAAATATATCAAAATTGATTCAGCACTGCAGAGCCACAAATTCAGTGTTGCAAGGCTACAATTTCCCCTAGTGCCACAACATCACCAGATCTACCCTGCGACAATCAAATTCCCGGATGAGTGTTGGAGAGCTTAGCGTCGAGACGTTACCGAGGGAGCGACATAGTGCTAGATCGAGCGCCAAATCACCCCAACACCATGATGAAAGAGTTGGACACTATTGAATCGGCGAACCGATGTGACAAGTGGTGAATTGACACGTTGGCCTAGCAACGCCACAATGCTACCTAGTCAAGGCCGCGGAGCCTGTTCCGTTATTTTGGATTTCTATAAATAGGAAGCTTATATCACATGTAAAGGAGTTGGAAAATTAGAAAGGCGTCATAGAGTGTGTGAGTGAGAGTGGAAGGCTGCTTTTGGTAAAGACTGGCCCTATGTATCTATTGTGTTAGTCTGTACCAGTGTGGGGAGGAGTGCAATGAGTATGTAATTGCTTAGCTAAAGATGTTCAGGTCATTTCTATTCTTGTTTTTTTATCTTGTATTTTTATTTTGTTTAGTAAAATGAAAATGTTTGTTGTGTATACTTTTATCTTTAAATTGGCTAAAGTCTTTTCTATGAGCTTATGATATTTTAGAAATCATGTATTGCATAGGAGTAGATTTATAATTTATTAAATTGCTAATGCGGTTTTTTAATCCTCCACACTTCATTTAGTTTGTGTAGTGATCTTGCATAAACTTAAAATCTAATGCGAGCTATAATCTCGACGGAGGAATAGAATAACAGATAGGGGATTTAAAACATAACTTTGCCATGTATAGACATATGTTGATTAGAATTATGGGATCTTAAAGAGATATTAAAAATATAATTAGGAGGAATCTAGCTAATACTCAAATGAGCTCAACTGAGACGAAGAGTGCTTATACGCTAATTCACAACAACATTATAAAGAATCTACCTATTGCAAACATGTGTTTTTAGATATCATAGGTTCAGAGTATTTAAAATTATTGAATTTATCTTTTGCAACTGTAGCATTTACTTTCAGTTACATCACCCCCTGTTAATCGATTGATAAGATAAACATAGATGTTCTTATAAGCAATACTAGAGTGATTTTAAAGTAATACCAAATTCTCACGATAATGATACTCTTCTCATTATTTTATTACTTGATACAACAAGTATACTTGTGTAGAGCAGGAGTTGCACCATAGTGTAGCAAATCATATATATATAAAACAAATAGTGTGTGGAACTATAACCTGTCAACACTCATTAAACCTCTTTGAAGACGTAAAGCTGCCCTTTAGAAGAAGACCGAATAAGGTGCAATGTGAGAGCAAAAGTTAGAGAAGGGAAGCCATCCATCGGCAGTGGACGTAAACACCAACAATGGAACCTTAAATACTACATGCTTGAATAATTAACTCGATATTATGTCTGGCAATGGCTTTTTTTAATAATGAATTCGGATTTACGAAATGATCGTTCACGTCATCAACGTATACCAGAAAATATAGTTTGATGTGGTTTTGATGAAAAATGAGTAGGGAAGGATCAGAACGACTAAACCTGAAGCCGAATAATTGAAGAAAGTCGGTGAGCTTTTGGAACCATTGCTGAGGAGCCTGCTTGAGTCCATAGAGTGATTTGCGAAGTTTACAAACGTGGTTTGGGTGGTTGTTGTCGATGAACCCAGGCGGCTGCCGCATGTATACATTTTCATGTAAATCGTCGTGGAGAAAGGCGTTGGAGATGTCTAGTTGAAGAACCAATCACTGACGGTGAAGCACGAGGGTAAGGAGAATCCGAATAGTGGGCATTTTTGCGACCGGGCTGAAAGTTTCTGAGTAGTTGACGCCGAGAGTTTGGTTGAACCCTTGAGCGACCAAGCAAGCATTGTAGCGATCAATTTCCCGTTGGGTAAAGTCTTGAGCTTGTAGGTCCATTTGCAGCCCAAGATGGGTTCGTTGGGCAAGGGAGGAATTAGAGTCCATGTACCTTGTCGTTGGAGAGCGTCGAATTCAGTGAGCATGGCTGCACGCCATTGAGGTGATTTGGAAGCTTGGGCATAAGTGGTGGGAAGCGGGTTGGTGGAGATCGTGGCAGAGAGATCAAGAAATTTCCTAGGTTTGGAGATCCCTGATTTGGCTCTTGTTTGCATGGGATGCGGGTGATTTGAAGTGGCGGTAGCGGATAGATTAGGTGCGGTTGGCTGAGGGTGTGTGGTAGAGCATTCGGGAGCAGTGGGATTGGAGGTTGTTCGATGGTAGAGGTGTCAGGTGTGATGGATGGGGAGGGAATAGAGGGTTGGTTGTGAGTCACGGATGTGGGGATGAGGAGCAGAGGAGAGTGCATGGTAGCAGGAGGGATAGGCACGGTTAGTGGATCAGGATTGGAGGTGTGATAGGGAAACTCGGTTTCTTGAAAAATAACGTGTCTAGAAAAGTTGATTTTGTTTGTGGTCGGGTTAAAACATCGATAGCCCTTATGTTGGGTCGAGTAGCCTAGGAAAGTGCACGGGTGAGATCTTGGTGAGAGTTTGTGAGGTGCATAGGGACGAAGCCATGAGGAGCAGAGACACCCGAAGGTGCGAAGGTGGGAGTATGTGGGTGGTTTGTTGTGACGCCCCAGGCATCCATAGTGAAAGGATTCGTCGACAGTCTTGATCAACCAACACTTCATGCTCCCTTGCTCAGATCTGAAAATATTAACCACATATAATTAGCTTCAAAAAGCCCAGCAGGTCACCTAAAACCTACAACTGAAATCAAAGCACGGTGCGGAAGCAATATGCATGTCAATCAGTCGAATCCATAACAGTCAGTCAGTCACTTGCACATGATCAGTGAATCTATGCAGCAGATATGAAAATCAATAATCAATGCATGATCGATACAATCCATAATCATCAATGATAGAATCAGTGAACAATAGAAAATCCATAAAGCTCAATAAATCAGAAATCAGTTCGTGCATCAAATCTCTTTAATAGTCATCTTATCTATCACATCAATCTATAACATCAATCAAATCAATATAGTAGAATCGTATCAAAACATACACTTGCAAATCGATCAGTTATTCAATATAACTTTCTCATTAAATCATATGCAATCCAGTAATCGATATCACATGTTCAGTAAATCACATATCACTTGATCAGTATCTCAATCAGTAATAGCAGCGTATGTATCAATATCAATAACAATCCAGTGACGACATGAACGATTATGCTATAACAGTGAAATCAAATCAATCATATCAGTAAATCAATTAATCTTGGTTAATAATATCAATCGGTATGGAATCACATAAAATGATCAAATCTATACATCGTAAGAACGGTTGAAATCAAATCAATACAATCATATAAATCAATCAAATCAATACATCAATAATCACGTGCTATAAGAATCAATACAATGAATCAATGTATCAGTGGATCTGAAGTATCGGTATCAGTATCTGTAGTATCAATAGTATCCATGAATCAATGAATCCATAATATCGATGAATCAATAATATCGGTATATGTATCCATGAATCAATACAATATCCATATCCATATTGGTGCCAGTATCCAGTGACATGAATAACATGCAATATCAATGAAATCGTACAATAACAGTAAACCCGTAAATCCGTCAGTAAATCCATTCAGTAACAAATCAATTCAATACAATAAATCCGTCAATATCAATAAATCAATAAATCCATTCACTAACAATAAATCCGTCGATAAAATCTGTTGATATCAATCATGCGTAGGGTAATCAATAAATCAATCAGAAATCAATAGATCAATTCATATCAGAAAATCCATACAAGGCAATGTCAAAAAAATACATAATGAGATCATAAGGACAATACTGTACACATGCAATTCAATACAATAGTCTTACTGAACAAGTACAATCACTGGCTATTAAGTCGTTTTTCGAGTCGATAATCCATAGTGCTGTTGTAGAAATCCATAGTGCTGTTGTAGAATCCATAAATATATCCGTTGGCTCAATAAGAGTCGTCACTCTGTACCCGTCGGCCGCCCGTCGGCATAATAATCTCCTTATGACTCCTAATCGTTGTATCAATGATCAATAGAGGATATCGCCAAACCCTTTTTAAAGGAAAGCCCGTCGGCCCACCATCCTGTACAGGTCAAGTCAATCTCCAACCAACGGTTCAACCAGTCTTCACTTGTCTTTCACTAACAATAACAATAATTCAATCATATATTCACATTCATATGCATATCAATAAGGTATTGCAATCAATAAATTCAATTTAGCTCAATGTAGAAAAACTCCTTAAAATATCGTATAGCAGACATACATCGTTTCAAAATGCACAGTTCCCGAAAATTACCAAATTATCATAAATCGAATAAAACAACGTTACAATGCTTTACTTGTACTGAAGCAATATTTTTCATCATCCAGATAATTTTCTATTTGATAAAAATCGCACAAAATTCAAAATAACCGGTAGAAACTTTACAGAAAATACTCAAATCGTGTAAAAATATCATATCAGAAACATATCAAAAGTTGTGCGGTAAAACTTTCGTCATTACAAAATTATGCGCATTTTTCGGTAACGGAAACACAAAGCTGAGCACAGAATTATCAAAACTCGAAATCTTCGAAATCAGAAATAGGATTCGGAGTCCTTACTGCGAGATAAACAAATCTTCCAACTGCGTCGTCGGACGAAAAGCGCTCCGCGGCCTCCGAAATCAAGCCTCTTCTCTTTCCTTCTCTTTCTCTCTCCTGCCTTCTCTTTCTCTCTCTTCAAATGAATCAAAAATATCTCAAATCCGATACTTATCAAACAGGATCGTCCAGGACGATGCCCAGATCGTCCCGGGACGAACTCCTCTGGACACGGATCGTACAAACGAAATTAATTCAAATTTGTTTCGTCCCTGGATGATGCTCTCTGTTCGGTTTGTCCCGACGGTTCGTCCCGACCCTTACAGGTTCGTCCAGACGAAAATGACAGATTCTTTACAATTTTCTTCAGTTCGTCCGGGACTAAAGCCAGTTTGTCCGGACTAACAACACTCAAAAAATCAGCTTTTTTAAGGGTTTTACATTTGTCGTAAAGTTTTTGGTACGGAGTTTGTTGTGCGAGAGCTTTGGACGGGAGCCGATTGATTAGATAGGTTGCGGTGGAAGCGGCTTCAGCCCAGAATTTCACGGGCATATGGGCGGCGTGGATGAGCGTCCGAGTTAGCTCAATTATGTGTCTATGTTTTCGCTCAGCGATGCCATTTTGTTCCGGAGTGTGAGGGCAGCTTAGTTGTTGTTGAATGTCGTGGTTGGAGAGATAGTTTGTGAATTGATTGCTGGTGAACTGGCCTCCGCCGTCAGATCTGAAAATCTTTGGAACAATATTAAATTGGTTTTTAATTAAAGAGCAGAAGTGAGAGAATTTAGCGAATACTTCATTCTTTGAATGCAACAGGAAAAGCCATGTAAATCTTGTAAAGTCATCCACGAAGATAATGTAATACATGAAACCGTTCAAAGACGGTTGTGGGGCTGGTCCCCAAACATCGGAGTGAATCATGTAAAAAGCATACGGAGAAGAAGTTTTGCTATTATTAAAGACTAGTTTGCGGCTCTTGGCCGAATTACAAGAAATGCAAGAAAAATTTGCTGGTATTGAAGGTAGATCAGGAAGATGCAGGCGAAGAGCTGAGAACACTTGGGGATGCGGGTGACCAAGACGAGCATGCCAGAGCTGAACGGAGGAGGTAGTAGCTTGAAGAGCGGTCGGAGAGGGTGAAGATGTTGGCCGAATGTGGTAGAGCCCGTCACGCATGTGACCACGAAGAAGTGGACGATTGTCCTGTAAATCCTTAATAACGAAACCTTTAGCATCAAAATAGATAGATACATTAATTGTTGTCCGCAGTTAATTTTGAAATCGAAATGAGATTATGAGTTAGGGAAGGAATGTGTAGTATTTGTCTTAGATGGAGCTTACGCGCGGAGTCCGGTAGAGGAAGAAGTCCCTGCCCGAGATTCTGAATGGACAAGGAAGATCCATTGGCGATGGATACATTGTCTGGACCTTTATATGTCGTGCTTTGTTGCAGATTGTTGAGGTCGTGGGTGAGATGGGAAGTGGCGCCCGAGTCGAGAGTCCAGTCGTTGGCCATTTGCTGAGTTTGCTGGGAGAGAAGAGCTCAAAGGGTAGACGACGTGGTGGGTGCATATTTGAGGTTGCACCGGTGCCAGCAATTTAAGGCGGTGTGCCCGATTTTCCCACAGATTTGACACGTGGGTCGGTCTGTTTGAGCAGGGGCAGAGGAAGGCTGCCGATCAGTGAATGATCAGTTCTTGACCGAACGGTTTTGAGGTTTGTTCCGAGAGAAATTGGATCGGCTGGTGTAAAGTGTTGTGTTGTCCGGTGTGCTGGAAGCCTCTATGGTGTGTTCTTGGCTGTCGTTGATCTCTTCACTACATAAGAGAGAGTAAAGGGTATCAAGATCGATGGGGTTTAGAGAGGTGCGAATGGTGGTTTTGAACGAGTTGTATGTAGATGGAAGGCCATTCAGGATGTAGAGGACGATGTCCTCAGTGTCGATTTTCGATCCAGAAGACGCAATGTTGTCAACATTTGATTTGCATCAGGTATTGCTGCATGGTGGAGTTTCGCATCTGGATATGATGTAGTTCGTTCTTGAGTTGGATGACTCGAGAACGATTCGTGGGTTGCATTTGCCATTCAAGAATGGCCCAGACTTCGGCGGCGGTGGTGGAGGCTAGTACGTAAGGAAGGATCGTTGGCGAAATGGTGGAGAAGAGCGCCGAGGTCAAATTTCGATCAATCAGGCGCCATTTCGCATGATCGGAGCTTGTTGCATCGGTCGGACAGGGGTTTTCTCCGATGAGAAACCCGGCGAAACCATTTGCCGAAAAATGTTGAAGCATCTGTATACGCCATAGTGCGTAGTTGTCGGAGGTGAGGTGGGTGGCACGAGATTCTTGAGGTTGGAGATCAAGAATTTTAGAGGAGCGGGAGCTGTGAAGTCGGAGAGATTGCCGGAGTTGGTGGAGATGATCGGAGATGGAGAACCACTGGATTCTTGATTAGCCATGGGAGAGACCTTGCTCTGATACCATGAAAGAACCGGTAGCAAGAGAAAAGAGACGGAAGAAAGAAAGAGTACAGAGGATTTAAGAAAGAAAAGATAACTTTATATATCATTACAGAATAGTGCTGGTTACATTTATAGAAGGCTAGTTGGACAGCTCGTATTGTATTTACAAAGAAGCCAGAGGTGCTGACGTGTCAGACGTCCTAATATGTACTACTTACATTTTATATCATATTATTTATATTTTTTTTAAGGAATTATTTGATTATAACACCAAAAAACTATAAACAGTGGTCCTTAGGCACATTTATGGATGATAATGGATAGTACTGTATAATTATGATTGTACTTGGTACATATGTAGTTCATACCAACTGATATAGAAATTACAATGTGGAAGATTTATGAAGCCAATAGGATAAAGTAAGCTTACGGTGTTGGGGAGAATACCATCAAGTAATAAAGATTAGAAGACTGGAAAGAAAGAGATTTGCATTGTAGAAGAGCTTTTCTTATAGAATTTATCTGCACCACCGCACTCTGCATTTATGGTGAACTTCATGGACAAAAGCAACACGGGTATGTATTTAGCTTACTACTTGAATGTACCGTAGTCAGCCAAAGTAAAAAATTTGGTCGAATTTGATAGCTTGATTTGTTGGAAAGAGAGTAATCTGATTTAGCAGGACTACTGAGATAAAGAGAATAAATGGATTGAGAAGATCGAAAGAAAGTAAGCACATGTTGTGCACAAAACTATGACTGAAGGCTTCAATCTGTTTTAAACTTTATGATCTCCTAAAACAATGGCCCCTATTTTGGACTACCATTACAATAGCAGTCAACATCAAGGTTAGAAAACTTTTGATCAAGCTAGAGCTTTAAGTAAATAGATAAAGGTTTGATAAAAAGATAAAATGACATCCGAACCTTAGCGCCACTTGTGAATCTTGCGGTCCCTTCAATCAACACCGGATTCATGAGCAGCAGAAAGCACACTCATTTACTTCATCAGCGATCTGGACAATAAGAGAAGCCAAAGTGCCGTCAAGCAAAGCCATTGCCACTATCGTCTATTTGTAGTTGCAACAAGTCTCCACCTGAACACCAAACAGAAATGCATTTTGCACTTTATCTCCTCTGTGAGCAGTGGGGTGCCAATATTGACGTCGCAGTATTCAAAACGCGAAAATGACGTTCTATTTTTCATTCAGTTGGAGATGACCTATACAAGTCAAGATTCAGCTCCCATTGAGCCTATGCCACTCCCCGAACCAGCTAAAGCCAGGAAAGCTGATCAAATGAAGCCATTTGACTGATTCTTGTCCGTACTCTCAGAATGCTCCTTTACTTTTGTCCATGTATCTTTCAAACTAGTTTCCCCTCCTTTACCAGACTTGCTTGCAAAACATAAGCTAAAGCTTCCGATGATGAGTGATAGCACTCCCACACAGAAATCTAGCATAGCACTTCAGAAGCTATATCTGCTAGCAACTCTATCTACAACCAAGCATTTTACCATTCATGTCATTAAGTTGCTTAAAGGGAAAGAGATAGCAACCAATCAATTATCTGAATCAAGACTCATTCCCCAAACTCGAAAAAGACGAGAAATATTAAATAAGAGTTTGGGAGTGCTTAGTCCCCAATACTCTGCCAGTGTCACCATCACCAATAGTCTCGACAAGAGCAAGATCCTTTGCTGAAGTGGTGGAAACGATTGCAATCCCTCACAATGATAATCCTGCCAAAAGCCTCAGAAACCAACTTCATCACTGCATGGCAATCACGGCAAATTCTAAGGTTCTTAATGATACGGATAACAGACCCGGGATTTGTACTGATCAAACCAAAAGCAACAGCCAACTTTTCACTGTGCTGAGACAGACAAACCTCCCTATCCTCATCATTAATGTCAAATGAAACGCCTCCTACCAGTGGCTTGTGGCCTTTGAGGCTTACAAGCCTGCATATTTCATCCAACATCTTGTAAATCCCATCAAATTGCGGATGTGAACTGTCTCCAGACAAGAACTCGTGAACAACTCCATTTACTTCAATCAAGCTTGATCCTGGAGGCTTATGTATCATTTGTTCCTTCATGAAGTTCCTAACCTCCTGCACAACATCCCACTTCCCAGATGTGGCATACATATTGGACAAAAACACATGAGCCCCAGCATTGTTAGGATCCAATTTCAGAATTTCCTTCACAACGATTTCTCCCATCCCAATGTTTTTGTGCACCATACAATCCACCAAAAGGGAGCCCCAGAGAACTATATCTGGCTTTAGTGAACTCCTCCTGATCAAAGCCAAGGCCTCATCTAGCTTCCCTGCTCTTCCCAATAGACCTACAATGCAGCCATAATGCTCGATAGTGGGCTCTATATCGTAATCCATTCTCATCCTAGAAAAGATAGTCCTACCCTGTTCCACCATTCCTCCATGGCTGCAAGCAATCAACAGAGCAGTTATGGTCACTGAATCAGGAAAAACTCCAAATCTCTGCATCTCTTCAAAGAGAACCAGCGCCTCTTTGGCATGCCCATGAATCGCAAGCCCGTTAATCATTACACTCCACGTCCTCACATCCTTCTCCTGCATCTCCCAAAACAAAACTTTGGCGCTATCGATCTCCCCACACTTAGCATACATATTGATTAGCGCGGTTCCAAGATTAAGATTCAGTACGAACCTATTCCTCTCAATATAAGAGTGAACCCATCTACCCATCTCCAACGCCCCGAGATGCGCACAGGCAGATACAACACTAAGCATTGTAATCTCATCCGCGCAGAAAGGACCACAGTCCTGCATTGCTTGGAACATATAAATGGCATTCATGTGCTGTCCACACGCCACGTATCCCTTAATAAGGGCATTCCAAGAAGTGACATCCCTCACAAGACTTTCATCAAACAGTTGACGTGCAGTTTCCACGGATACAAGCACCGCATGAAAATTAATGAGCGAGGTCTGAATGAAGGGATCCATACCATCAAGGCCTCTGCGAATGATTGTGGCGTGGAGAGATAGCCCTATCCGGCGGTCTTCAAGATAACTGGAGGCCTTGAGAAGGAAGGGGTAGGTGTAGTTATTGGGAAAAAAACCGTCGGCTAGCATGCGGCGGTAGAGAGAGATGGAGTTCTCAGGGGAAGGGCTGTGAGCGAAGCCACGGATAAGGGAGTTCCAGGCGAAGGCGTTGATGGGGATGTTCGTGGCATGGGAGAGGAAGGTTAGGGCGTAAGGGAGGTTTGAGGGATGGGAGTTAGCGATGTTGGAGATTAGTTTGCCGGCGATGATGGCGTCGTGGATTTCTCCGGAACGAAGGAGCGTGGCGTGGGTTTGCTTTAGGAGTTTTGTGGAAGGCAGAGAGGAGAGATAGGTGGAAGAACGATGGATTCTTGATGAGGCGATTCTGCAAGTGGAGTTTGTGTGGGCAGTAATGGTTGAGCTTGGCGCTCTCATTGCCCGAGGACGGCAGTTGAGATTGCGGAGGCCAAGACTAGCGTCGAGATTGTGAAATTTATAAGCTTCTTCGCTCACTTTGCGAGTTTTTTTTTTAATACTTTTACGATCAAGTATATATTATCAAAATTTTTTAGGCCAAATTATAAAAAGCATCACATTTTATATAAAAATATGTATAAAAAACATGCTTAATAATTAATTTAAAAAGAAGCAAAAATGAAAATAGCAAATCGGATTTATATCAAATTGGATCATGAAAATTCAATTTCCAAAGAAACTAGAACACGAAAATCCGGTTTCTTAAGCAATCGTATTATGAGAAATCCAAATTTTTGTCATATTTCTTACAACTGTGATAATTTCCTCCTTCGATTCTGTGAGTTGTGATAATATCCTCTGATTTTACTCTTGTGGTCTGCTTATTCCGCCTGCTCATAATCAGTTATTTTCATTCAGCATGATGAGTTAAGAATTTGTGGTTGTGATTTCTTTCGCCCGTCCTCTATATGAATTAAAACAAATCTCTACCTCATCAAGAAAGATTAATATGGTCCCAAATAATTAAAATTTTTTATTTTACTCTTTTGACTTTTTAAATTTGAACGTAAATATTCATACATAATGATTAATTTGATCCTTATTTAAATATTCAAATGATCAAATTGGTACTTTCATATAGTTGATGACCATTTTGATTTTTAAGAGAAATTTATAGGGCCAATTCAATCCTTATAGATATTACATTAAATTTTGATGACAAATAAAATATGAGTATTGTTCTATTTCTACTATTTGTTTATGAATATACATAAATTTGATTAGAAAAAAATTCACATATTAGAGCTATTTTTAACATTAATAAAAAAACTATCATCAAGTGAATTTATTTATAAATTTTGATGCAAGAAAATAGATTTTTTTGGTATCTCTTTTAAAAGTAATTCTCCTATAATTTTTATAAATAATTTATTGCATAATATTTGTTTCTATGTATTAGCTTAATTGGTAAAATTTTTAAAAGTTTGTTCATATTAAATTTATAACTTAATGCTCACTTTAAATAAAAATGATTAGTCCACAACTTAGAAGAAAATAATGTAAGAAATTCCTTATAAGAGTTAATGGGATCACTTTGAAAATGTACCTTTGTGATTTTTTTTATATTAATATAAAAAACATAGATATTTTGATAAAATATGAAATGAAAATCTTTCTTAATTAATGATCAATCAAAATGATTGTGTGATTGAAATTAGACTGAAAAATCATTGTTGGTGATACGTAATCACAAAATAATCTTGATTGGGCACGAATCTCGAGGCAAAATTAATTCGGAAACTTCAAAAATTAATTCCGGGAGCATATGAACTCCGATTTCAGCAATCTTACAGTCAAACCGAGCGTCTCGAAAATACGAACCCAACGACACCAAGATCAATCCAATCCGAGCCCAAATGAGCCCAAATCAAAGGACCAAAGCCTACTTAAAAGCTTCATAGTATTATATGAATATACATAAATTTGATTAGAAAAAAAATTCACATATTAGAGCTATTTTTAACATTAATAAAAAAAACTATCATCAAGTGAATTTATTTATAAATTTTGATGCAAGAAAATAGATTTTTTTGGTATCTCTTTTAAAAGTAATTCTCCTATAATTTTTATAAATAATTTCTTGCATAATATTTGTTTGTATGTATTAGCTTAATTGATCAAAATTTTAAAAAGTTTGTTCATATTAAATTATATCTTAATGCTCACTTTAAATAAAAATTATTAGTCCACAACTTAGAAGAAAATAATGTAAGAAATTCCTTATAAGAGTTAATAGGATCACTTTGAAAATGTACCTTTGTTTTTTGATATTAATTAAAAAACATAGATATTTTGATAAAATATGAAATGAAAATCTTCCTTAATTAATGATCAATCAAAATGATTGCTTGATTGAAATTAGACTGAAAAATCATTGTTGGCCAACCAAATTTTTTAATTCAAATTTGATCTGCTAGCAATATTGGTTGATTATGAGTCTCACAAGTTTCAAGTTGAAGAAAGAGTAGTCAATTTTTTTTTATGAAATGTTATAATCAACAAAATTTTCATATGAAATTGGAAACTTGGCGACAAATCAGCCTCAAGTAAACAATCACAATATATTTCTACAAGAAATTGTCTTATTATTTGTATCAAATTCATGAAGGATGTTAGGCAAAGGAATAAGAGAGGAGCCATTTTCAAACGAGATACAATATTGATTGATTATGAGTCTAACAAGTTTCAAGTTCAAGAAAGAGTAGTCAATTTTTTTTTTATGAAATGTTATAATCAACAAAATTTTCATATGAAATTGGAAACTTGGCGACAAATCAGCCTCAAGTAAACAATCACAATAGATTTCTACAAGAAATTGTCTTATTATTTGTATCAAATTCATGAAGGATGTTAGGCAAAGGAATAAGAGAGGAACCATTTTCAAACGAGATATCCTTTCTTTTCGTATGTGCCATATGAGATTCTCCTTTATTCTTCCATTAGTGAACTCGCTAATCATGTGTAACGTCCAATAATCAAATTTAAAAAAATTGTATGTTTATTATTTTAAGAATATATCAGAGCTTTTATAAATCATTGATATAAATAATAACCAGAAAAAGAAACTCAAATCATACACATCAATATATTTTACTATTTATTCATGAAAAATATTATTTACACTAGCTAGGATATCACTACAATCATTAATCTATCACAAGCTCCTAATTACAAAAGAATAAAAAAAATACATAACAAAATTTAGAGAAAACCTGAGAATATATGACAATCTCACTCCAACTAATCATGATCCCCTTCATGACTTGAAATTATTTAAAATTCACATAATGAGCTCAAAAGCCCAATAATAATTCAAAATTCACTAAAGCTTTCAACGCAAGACTAATAATTAATATGATATACTCGATTAATATAATCAATAGCAGCTAATATAGTTAATGACCAAATATTATCAATAAAACTCAAAATGATCAATAATAAAAACAGGAAATCATTATAATGAATCTAAAAATCAATAATTGGTATAAATTTCAATAAATTGTAAAAATAATAGTGCAATAATCATTCATAAATAATTAAAAGATTCTATCTTATTTATTCATATGCATTATCTATTTATGTATTATAAATACATTCAATGTTGTCAAGCATATTAATGTATCTTTTAGTGTCATTAGTGCTATCAATATGTGCATGTATCAATGTATAATTTAACAATGCAGGACATCCAACTTTAGCATTATGTTTTCAACATATTTTTACCCCAATTGATTCTCAGTTGTTCACCACTCATATCAATTATCACTTATTCAAGTAATCAATTATCAATATAGGTGGCTTCATTAATTCAATAAAGAGTCGTCACTCTCTGTCCATCAATATAATCGGTCATATGTTACATGCTACAATCGGGATAAGATCATAAATTATCTTTAAAGCAAAGCCTGTCAGCCCACATTCTTCCACATGATATTATGTTTTAATAGCTAGCTCATTTTATATTTGATACCCTTTTAATGATGATGGAGTTGAGCATATTGATTTACCATCAACAAAGGGAGGAAAATATTTGAACATTAAAGATGATGGATGCAATGCAAGATAAGACATCAATGGATTTACCATCAGTCAAGTGAGGTCATCCTATTTGAGATTTGTCTAATTTAAAGTCGATATTAAAGTTGGCGTTGAGTCACATTGTGTAGCATTACTAAAACGTACAATATACGGTTACAACATTAGAAACTGTAGAGGATCACGATCGGTTCTTCCCTCCTCACCGCCTCACCTGGCGTGCAACCCAATGGAGTTCATCGACGAGGACGCGAGACCTCGATTCCTCTTCCAAGCTCGCTCGTCCCACTCATCATCTTCTCTTCCCGAGACCCCGAAGATCTCCAAGCTCCACGCAGCAAGCTGTATCTCCGCTGCCGCACTCCTCATCATCTCCGCCTTGTTACTCTCTTCGAGCACGTCCATCCTATCCACCTTCCTGATCTGGATCTCCCTATCCCTTCTCGTTGCTCCCTTTGCCCCACCCTCCACTACCGGGGGTGATCCTCGAGTCGGGCGCGGTGATCCTCTTCCTTCACCTCTACCCAAACCAACCGAGCCCGAGGAGCCCCGGAGGCGCCCAGCTTCTCGATGGAACCCTAAACCGACTGTCCCTTCGTCCTCACCTGGTGTAGTCCTAAATCCAAAACCGGATGAGAAAAGAGGAGTAGATCCGGCCAGCCACGATGGCGAATCGGTAACGAAGGAAGCAAATCAGGAAGATGAATGGTCTGTTGAGGATCTCGAGGTTCTCAAGCGCCAGATCTCGAAGCATCCCGCCGGGGCACCGGGACGATGGGACCGAGTTGCCGAGGCATTCAAGGGCCAGCATGGGGTGGAGAGCGTGATCCGGGCGGCTAAATCTTTGGCCGAGAGGAGGCCCCCTGGGAACGATTCTTTCGCCCAGTTTTTGAAGCAGAGGAAGCCCTTGGACAAGCGAGTGGATGTCAATGTAGACTTATCTGTGAATGGGAGTGATGGTGATACCGTGGTTGGAAATGTGGGATGGAGCTCCGGTGAAGATATTGCACTGCTTAATGCATTGAAGGCATTTCCTAAGGATGCGCCGATGAGGTGGGAGAAAGTGGCTGCGGCCGTTCCCGGGAAATCGAAGACTGAGTGCATGAGGAGGGTGTCCGAGTTGAAGAGGGATTTTCGAAGTTCGAAGACTTCGGAGAGCTAATTTTATTTTCTTTTTCACACGGGTGAGTGCCACTTCTCATGCCAAAGTCGTCCTTTTGTTTTGTATGTTGATGTTTAATTGAACCCAAATGTTCAGCTATGAAATTTTTGAGGATTTTACTTTTTTTTCCATTCTTTTATAGTTGTTGTAATACACTTTGTTGATTTATATATTTCTTCTGAATCAGCTATGCTTTGATTGCATGAGACTTGCAGCTTTATGCTAGTAGTGGATTATTTTGACAAGAAAAATGCTATTCCCTGATTGGTTCACATTTGGAGCCTATTTTATTCATTGTTATTTAGATGTCAATATTTTCAAGATTATGAAGATTGAAATATTGAGATGTCTAGGCATCTCTGGATGTTGACCAATTTTGACAATTGTCTAGATGTCATGGAATTAGTCATGACGATCATTTATAAAATTCTTATTTAGTTATGTCAACAAATCAAACAATTAGTGTCTCTTAATAACATCCTAACATTTAGATGTCAGTGACTTAAAATCAGTACCACACAAAATGTTGTGACAATTGGAGATTTCTACCAGACTTGTTGTATAATTTTGTGTCTAATCCTTCTTAATGCACAATATTAAAATATATTATTAGGTTTGTGTCATTACTCTTTTGGAAATCCATATACAATGTTTGATTGAATGATTAAATATATGTATAATAGAGCGTTGATTGATATCGAAAAATAGTTATGGAGCAATCAAAGAATTTTCTATTACAAGAGATTACATCAAGGTTGAATTTTGAGTCCATGTATTTTTTTTTTTTTTTGAAACTACTTGCAAAGGAAATCCAAAGTGGAGAATCTTGGTTTATTCTTTTTGCAGATGATGTAGTTCTAATTATTTAGACATCTATTGAAATAAGTGAAAAGCCTTAACAATAGAGAAAATGTATAGAATTAGTAGAATAAATATTGAGTATATAATGTATACTTATTGAATATGATAATTATTGAATAATATTATAAAAAGATAAAGTGATACCTAGATGTGAAATATTAAAGTGCTTTAGATCTATTATATAGTAGAATCTTTTATATATTGATGTTTCATCTAAAATTAAAGTGGAGTGGTTACAATGTAGAAGTGTGTCAAAAGTATCATGTAATAAGAGGACTTTATTGATATTTAAAGGTAATTTTAATAAAAATCGCAATTTAGTGGCAATACCATATGGATTTAAGGAGGCAGTAGTTTAGTGTGATCGAAATAAAAATGTTAAAATATATGTGGAAAAAAACTACGAGATACAAATTAAAGAATGATTATATTAGAAGAATACTAGGAGTGATATATATTGAAGTTAACATATTTAGAAATAGACTTTGGTAGTTTAAATATGTATAATCAAGGGTGAAAAATGCTCCCATTCAAAGGATAGATAAATTTAATGTTGGAGGGTTAAGGAGAAATGCAATTCTAAATGAATGTGGAAAAATGCTGTTCAAAATGATTTATGAAGCATAGATTATAACACTTAAACAATACTCGATATTATTGAATGAAAAAAAGACGATTCATACATCGATCCCAAATAATTGGGATGCTATTAATGACAATGATGATATTTTGATTGAAGATTGTTGATTTTTTCAGATGTTGTATTTGATAAAACTAATATTAGGAAAATGTTATTTTAGCATATTATCTAATTTGGGAAATATTCAACTATTCTCTAATAAATGTGATTATTCTTGCTTTTATTTGTTTCGTGTTATAATCAGTTATATTCATCATGTAAACTTATATATAGGCACCTATATCAAGGCAATAAGATGAATCAAAATCATTCTTCTTGAGAAAATATCATAGAATATATAAATGTTAGCTATAATTCCCTCTTCTCTCATTGCCCCGTCTTTCCATTTCACTTGCTCACACATTGTGGTGTTCACTTGACCTAAACCTAGTAACCTCATCCCTTCACTTGCATGAAATTGTGCCCTCGTGCTCGCACCACTTTCCCAATCTCGCACTCTTGCATTCGTTCGTGGGTTGATTGCTATTCACGACATGCTTGCTCGTTGGTCACTAGCTGCATGCTTACACGTGTATGCTCAACGCCAACCGTATGCACACTCTCATCCACTTGTTTGTAGCTATTCATTGCTAGCACATTCATGCACACCGCTTGCTTGTGCTCACTACAACACCATCACCTCGCCTATGACCTAATCAAGCCATGCATATATGACTGTCGCTCACCCTGGATGAATGAGCCACCCTCTTCCTTACAGATTGCTCTTCCTATTTCTCTCCCATCCATGACTGAGTTCCCCTTTAGGTTCTTTGTACCTCTCTCTTCACAATGTCATGACTTTTAATAAGATGAAACTCTCCTCCATTATTAGAACCACCATCAAATTTAATGGTTCATACTTCATACTATAGCTTGTTATTGAGGGCCTTTCATTTTTTGTCAGTTCTCTGATACGCCCTAGGGTTCCACAATTTCGGTTTTGTCCTAATTTCCCCAAAAAATGAGGAATTTCTCCACCAAAAGCAAAGAGAAACAATCACAAGAGGGTTGAGATGAAAAGCAAGAACCTTTGCATTAGAAAGCCAAGAGAAAACAAGATAAGTTTGTCCACTTCGAGAAGGACAAGATCTCCCACAAGAAAACCCTAGAAAAGAACAAGAAGGAAACTAGAAGAAGAAAACTAGAAAGAGAATACACTTTTCATAATGCCTCCAACCAAACCCTAATGGCCCCCTTCATACAATCCAAAAGTCCCTCACATCCCCAAATTACCCCCACTTAAGTGGGTGGGCCATGCCTCCAACTAAACCCTAATGGCCCCCCTTCATACAATCCAAAAGTCCCTCACATCCCCAAATTACCCCCACTTAAGTGGGTGGGCCCCTTTTTGTCCAGCCGGTCCGCCCGCCTCCCATAGACCCGCACGGGTCTAGGATGGACCGGGTGAACCGGTCCATCATTCTCATCATAAAATCCATCATCTTGATGCATTTCTTTCAAACAGTAATAGCACCATAAAGTTCTTTTAAATGCAATCGTCCGATTACTCCATACTTAACTAGTTTTTAAATAGTTTTGAACATGTAATTGGTCTAAATGTCATCTTTCAAGATTTCAATAAGTAAATGTGGGAATTTTTTTTTCACCGATTATTAGGATAGCAATATTTTTTGTTTTTATATTATATTATAAAATATTTTTTCTCCAATGAGATGATATGTAATCCCATGAATACTATAACATTCTACGTTGTAAATAAGATGAGTTACTTAAATATTAACCTTTCACAACTGACCTAAATGTTTGGCAAATCAAAGCAAGATTTTTTTAATTCCAAATTTATATCTTCGGTATGTTCCTTTTTCTACAAGTTGTGCAAATCTAAGTTAATGGCTAACTCTAAAATACTTAATATTGAGATCACGCTCTCCCATGTTCTTAGTGTTACCAAATTTTCCAACCCTCAATCACTGACTCTCAATTAATCATCTTTGGGGACAATTTCCAGGGGTGGCAAGAGTTTTCGAGGGTATGGTGGTAGGACTAATAGTTGTCATGACCCTGTTAGAAAAGTCTTTTTCTCATGACTATTGTCTTCATTGTTGTTGCACAAATCATTCTCTTGAATGTTTTTGGGAGAAATATGATTAGCTTTCCACTACTTAGCTTGCTTTGACATCTTGATTGTCTATTTCAACAATCATACACATTTATCTTTGCCTTCAACGACATATCTTTCTCTCTATTCATTGTTTCTCAATTGGTATATCTTGGGTTTTAGATTTAGGTGTTTTTTTATATAACAAATTATTGCCATATTTTTTTCATCTCACCCACTGTCATTATTATTGATGGTTCTTCTTTTCCTGCTGCTTGAAAGGGTGTTATATATTATTTTAATTATCTGCGTCTATCATTGTTTCTATATGTACCAAATTTTTATCAATTTATTGTCCATTTCTATCATACAAAAACTCATCTTTGCTCAACAATATTAAAGGGAATAGAATTTTGAGTGCTTGCTATTTTATCAATCGAGTTCCTTCTCTCTTTGCTGTCTCATCATCCACCTTTTTTTATTGAAGGGCTGTCATTCTTGTTGTTTATATTGTTGACATCTTGCTCATTCGGAGTAGTCGTAACGATATCTCAGAGCTCAAATAGTTACCTAAAGAGTGTTTTATCACCAAGTATCTAGGATTGCCTAAACTCCTTGGAGCTATATTTGCTTATAGCAAGAAGAGGGAGATTTCCCTATCTCAAAGAAGTATGTTATTGGTCTTCTTGAACAAACTTATCTTCTTGGTTGTTGATTGTCTGGTACCACTGTAGTGACTGAAACCACATTTGATAATTATTTATTGGTCGATAGAATTGCCAGCCAAGTCATGCAAACTCCCAAAAAAGAGCATTGGGAGGCTAGTTGATGAATTCTTAGGTAAAGAAAAGTCTCCAAGGAAAAGGTTTTTACATGTTAAGGACAAGCACTTGAATATAGAAGCTTTCTTTAACACTGCCGTTGTCAGGTCTCAAGTCCTGGATGAGAAAAGTTGAGGGGTGCGTTAGGTAGTCGACAACCAATGTAAAACTTTTTGAATAACCATGACATGAATCCTTTTAAATGAGAAATTGATTTTTAACAGGACACAATGGAGAAAAAGGATTTATGCTGCCGACCCCACGTAGTGGGATAAAGGCTTGATGTTGTTGTTGTTATTGGCTTCATTTAAGACATAAAGTTCACTTTGAGATATTATATTTTTATTATATGAAAAGAAAAAGAAACTATTGTTATGGCTAGGTCCAATCATCCAATGTAGAGGTTGAATACATAACTATTCTACTCAGCATGTGAAATGATGCAGGTTAAAACGTTTTTCAGGAGAGTTTGACTTTCCTGTAACTTAGCCTATAGCACTATATCATTTCAATCATGTCGCATCTATATTGCCAGAATTGAGTCATCTTCATGAGCATTCAGAGGGTGTGGGAAGGATGGAAGTGATGAGTAGAGCCCTGCATTGGGTACTCATACTCACACCCACCTATACCCAATGGGTATGGGGGTACGCCTATGGCCTTGTGGGTGTGTATGGGTGGGTACTCAACATCGGGGGATAAATCGATTTACATTGCTAATCATCATATATCTTATATTACTGCAATTCTCACTATGTAGTGTGGA